CCTGTTGAGTTCACTCAATATGAACCTCTCCATAATCTTGCAAGCTTTGATTTCTCACCAAGGTTGTCTTCTGCTTCTACACCACATTTCTTCATACACCTTACAGTTATCTCCACCAGGCAGGAGTATTCCACGATTAGTTTTAGCCCTCTTTCCTAAAGATCCCCAACTCACTCTTACTCATTGTTTTCTTTTTCTCAGCATCATGGGGGATTTTTTAAGTCTTGACATTTTCAAATAATCACCTAGAAAATTGCTTAACTGTTTCTGAAACTGCTTTATTTCATTCTATTTTTCATGCATTTTCATCCTAAAAACATACTGGAGAGTTTAGCATGTTTGAAGAGATCAAAGTAATCAATGAATGCTAGGCTCAAATTCTGAAGACATCTGCCAGATAACATTTACAAAATGGTTTAAGTTTTCCTCTCTTCATTGTTTCAAACTTTTCAAAATAGTGCACTCAGAGGAACGTTAGTTTCTCAGAAGTATATTTTACAACTCCAGAAATATTTTATTTGTAGCCTTCTTTAACAAAATGCCAAATGCATAAAAGGTTTTGGTTTTTTTTTACTGGACGGGTGGTAAATAAAGTAAAACAAAAAACCCCAAACAACATCTAGAAAGGATCAGGTTTACTCAGATTAACTGACATTGATTCTTCAAAGTACAACACTGCAGGTAATATTCACCTCCAAAATATTAAGATGGGGTTTTATTCTTGGAAACTTTACATTTCCTGATCATGCATGCTTAATAATAAATTCAACCTAACAAAAGTCATAATTCAAGCTTTAAATCAATTAATTTCTGAGTTTTAAAGATAGTGAAGAAAATTGAGGATGAAGTGGTGGTAAGCCACAATCAAAAAATTTGGTTTTAATTTCCTGTAAAAGCTTTTTGTGCAGTTCTGGCTAGAAATTTAAGTTTTTTTAAGAAAGCACATTTGAGAAAGCAACGGGTAATTTTTTTTTTTTTTTTTAATGAAAGCCTGCCCTCTTGTGCAAGACTGAGGTTTAGCACCACTACAGTCAAGAACAGAGGCATGACGATCAGTGCTACTTGACTATCTAGAAAATGTGAACCTTCCAGCACTCTTCTACTCGAGTGTGCTGCTTTTGCTGAATGGGGAGCACACAAAGCAGCTATAATCTAATGCCCTCTCTGCAACAGGAATAAAAAGAAAGTGCTTTCTATTTTACTTGTTAACTTGGCCAATAAATGAGTCTATTTGCAAATACGTAAGTGGACAGGTAATTTTGGAATTAGTCTCTTCCATCAACTTTTCTACACATTCAGTAGAGACACAAGGAAAAAAAGGCTCTTCTCTGTCTGACTCCGACAAATGAAGAAGGAGAAAGGGAAAACCAGCTAAATCATTGGGACTTTCTGTCTTGTTTTTTAACCCTTATCCCAGTTAGTATTACTATAAAGGCATCTACTTCCTTAAGACAGGAAACCAAGCCTGAAGTCTGAATCACAAGTGACTTGTGAAAGCCCACTGAAGACAACATGCAGATGTCACTTAGTGTTGAAGAGATCCTAAAGTCAAAATCACTGAAAACTACCATGCTGTTGTGGTTTAACCCAGCAGGCAGCTAAATACCAGTGCGATGGGGGAGAGAATCGGAAAAATAAAGTAAAATTCGTGGGTTGAAATAAAGACAGTTTAATAGGACAGAAAGGGAAGGGAAAATAATAATAATATACAAAATAAGCGATGCACAATGCAATTGCTCACCACCCGCTGACCGATACCCAGCCAGTCCCTGAGCAGCGATCGCTGCCCCCCAGCCAACTCCCCCCAGTTTCTATACTGCGCATGACGCCATATGGTATGGAATGTCCCTTTGGCCAGTTTGGGTCAGCTGGCCTGGCTGTGCCCCTTCCCAGCTTCTTGTGCACCTGGCAGAGCATGGGAAGCTGAAAAAGTCCTTGACTAGTGTAAGCACTACTTAGCAACAACTAAAACGTCACTGTGTTATCAACTGTTATTCTCAAACTAAATCCAAAACACAGCACTATGCCAGCCATTAGGAAGAAAATTAACTCTATCCCAGCCAAAACCAGGACACGTGACTACTACCTACTGTATGTGCTTCACAGTCAGCACAAGCAATAAATGTTTACCCAGCTGCGTAAGTAGCAGCACTGTCACAGAATACATAGTGCAAGGCATTCATTGTGGATGTACATATCCACAAATGGACAAAGCTTTCACACATACTTGAAATTAGGAATGTTTCATCCCCCAGAAAAGTTAGGCACGTCCAACATAAGTAAATAACAAGTAACACCTACTTTCGAAGGTGTTCGTGTTCCTTCAGGAATAGTTCTGTTCTTCTGTTATTCACACCAGACCCACTTTTATATGATCTAAAACCCAAGAACAAAACAAAACAGAATCTTACCACAACCTTAATAAGAGTTGTGAATTCAAGTAAGTAACTTTGTTTTATTCAGAGCACAGACGAATAAGCTATGCCAAGTATTCTCCTACAGGAGGGTTTCCACCTTCTCCCTCCGAGGACAGTCCCATACCATTGCTATAACAAGCAATACAACTTACTCGATATCTTTTCGTACTGATCCCAACAGATTCTCCCTTTCTCGTATTGCCAAAAAGTTCGCTTTGGTTTTGTGGAATTCGTGCGTATAATCCTGTAACAAAACAATTACTCCCCAAATTAGGATCCTGAGATCAATTTAACAACACAATATGCTCAAGCAAGAGCCAACCATCTTTTAAAATGTTACCTGTTCTCTAATACAAAGTGCAAGAACAACTTACGAAATTAACATCAAAAGTGCTTGGAAGTTAATGCAAAGTATTTTTAAAACTCACTGCTCTTACAGTAGTTGCTAACTTTTGATAGCTACAGCTCAGGTCATAGAGGGAAATCCACTGTAATTCCTTCTCCCAATTTCCTATCTCTTCACCTTTCTGATGAATTCTCATTTCGTGTTGGAATTTCCCATTGCTGGTTGAATCAGAAGCCCTAGTAAAACCTACTTATTTGGTGTGGTGAAGATGTTCTTGGGTTTATTTTGTTAAGTTACACCAGATGAAAAAAAAAGTATTTTTGAACAGTGAAGATGTTTTTTTTTTTAACGTTCAAGTTGCAATTTTACATTTGAAAACGTTTCAGGCAGCTAATACTCCTCGAAAACCAATTTAACTGGCAACTGGTGTCCACCAAAACCATTGTAAAAATTCAGCGCTATTTTTCATATAAATGCTACGGCTTTTACAAAATATTATGCTTTTTACATCATGTATTGCACAGATACAAAACAGAAATCAAACTGTACATGACCAGCCAAATAAAACATGCATTTTTAACTTTATTTTTAAATTAATTTTAAAATTAATTTAAAAATTAATTTTAACATTACTATGTCATGAAAACATTACCAGTTTGAAACCTGGTTGATTTATAACACTAATTAGTAGCTTTAGCCATCACATTTCCTCCAACTCCCTTTAGCAGTTTAGATGGTTTTAAAATCATATTAAGTGTGATGTTCCCTCTCATATTGCTATGTGATAGACCACACAGACAAGATAATTCATTACAGTACCTTTCCCCTTTTGCTATATAAAAGACACCTACATAAGACGGCATGCTTTACTGCTCGCTCTTAGTTAGGTACTAGTCACCAATATGACATAAAAAAATGCTATTTTTTCAACTCAGAGTTCACTGAGGGGGGTGCCTGGAGAGAGGAAAAGTGACATGGGATCGGCGGCATTTAAATCTTCTGGTAAGACATTCAAGCATGCTGTGATATCTGCACTGTTAATAATTATTCCAAACAAAGAAACAAAATAAAAGCAAGGACGTGTGTTTGTTACCTGCAATATGTCTCTATGACGCTGTAACGTATGCATCAGTGCAGCGTTCAGGGACGGGACTCCTGCACTATTTGTGTATTCTGCCATTTTGTCATTTATTCCAGTAAGCTAGAGGAAGGAAAAACAAAAACCAAAACCATGAAGTGGCTTATTCTTGTAAGTTACAATGCATAAGCTGAAGGAGCTGGCTCTGATGACAGACGCACACCTTCTGAAACACTCAACACCCACACTAGTATTTCCTAACATTCATCACAGAAACTGTACTGCAGTATTTCCTAGATGCTGAAGTAAAACCACAGTAACTTGCGTTACCTTTCCCAGAAGTTGTTCAATCTCCACAGCCATAGTCTCAAACATTCTGTCCTGGCTTGATCCATTTAAGAGAGGAGTTGTGTCAGAGCTAAGGAAGAAGAGGCAGAGCAGTTACTGCAAAGTACATCATCTTTTCATGAATCCAAGAAATAAGGAAACACTAGTGTTAGCAAGCTCCACTACACAGGTTTCCTAGGGATTAATTAAGCTCAGAAAAATTACATTTACTTATCATACATACCTTTAACTCTTATCTGAACTAATAACACAGTATCACCTGGGGAAAATGCAACCTCTCGAAAGATATGCCTGACACCAAACACTTGTCTCCTACCAGCACGTGTCTAGCACCAATACCCTTCTCTCCCCAACTTTTAAGCTTAGTTTATTTATTTATTGGCAGGAGGGAGCAATGCACTATTAGCATGTTACACCAGCTGCATAATTACTCTTTAATTACACAGTGCTAGGACAACTCACTGACCTATTAAGCAGTCAGTGTTCTACAGAGCAATACAAACCACACAATTTATCACAATTACAGTTTCATACAGTACGCTTTTTAAGATAAACTAAAACCACAATGAGAAGTCATATCTAAGCAACAGAATAGAAGCACAACACTTTGCATGCCAACCTGCAGCAGTATGACAACAAATACCTTTCAGAGACTACTCTTTGCTTTCGTAAGCTATTGTAACTAGAGTAAGAAAAGTAAGTTTTGCACAGGACAGCAAAAATAACCAAAACAATTAGATGACACAGCAAGTAACAGCACAAAACCAGAAACAAAAGAGAAACTAGGACTCTGATTCAAGAGTAACATGGTCATTCCTGAGGCTCTCTCAGGCTTCCAGAACCAGAAATTCTTTTAAAGGTTCAAAATTGATTCAGTCATCAAATGAAATAAATAAAAATACCAACACACATCCATACAGTAGTCACATTCACAAGTGATACACAGTGTTGGGACCCACAGTTAATAAGCAAGGAATGTTGGTTTTTAAAGGTTGTGCACAAGGACAGAGAAGTTGATAATTAGTGCTGTGGAACTGCAGGAAAGACCTCAACTCTGGCCCATAAGCTAGAAAGACTTGAAAAGTTTTATCATACTAATTCTTCAGTCAAACATGAATCTGCCTAAAGCAAACAGAAACTATTCAGATGTATACACACGTATATGTATGTATCTGGTTTATATATACATAAAAACATATATCTAGCTCTCACTATTATTACTCATCTTAGGAGAAAGCCAGAAAGAAACAGCTACCCCTCCTGAAGGGAGGGATGGTCTTCTGCTCAACCTTGGACCAGTCACAGCTGCTAAACACTCCAGTTCTCTTACCATTAAAACAGGGATAACAAATACTATGGTATTGTACAGTATTTATTGGTATATTACACCAGCCCACCTGGGAGGTGTAAAGCTAAATTCCCCTAACACTGAAGTCCCTGAAAACCTCCTGCTAATTTAATACAAGAAAAACTGGAAAACAAGCCGATGTAGCGAGCACTAAAAAGCCCTATCATCAGTTCGCACACTAACCCCACAGTTACACACTGAAGTTTAAATTCAGCTTCCCCTAGCGACATACATGCTCTCACGACGCACCACTGCAGCCCACACACCTTTCTAACTCACATGCCAATATCGCATCGCGACCAACACCAGCATCACAGCCTCAAGAAGTGCTGAAATGAGCCTCTTAAGAAGCTAAGCATAAAAGCAACAGGTAGGATTAGCCTTAAGAAAATTATAAAAACGAACTAAGTACCGCAAGCAGCATTTAAAACATAAAGACATGGGCTAGTACCTATACCTGTCGCGCCTTCCGTCTCGGGTGCTGCTGTAGCTGGTGCAGAGTTTGCTGAAGGAGACCAGCTTCAGGTCCAGCTCGTTCTCCAGCTGCCTCGCCTGCTTCCGGAGATCTGCACGGGGCGGCCGAGAGCAAGGGAGAAGTCACAAACCCGCACGGTGACCCCCACGCCTTTGGGGGACGCGTTTTCACGAGGTGCTTTCGAGCGGAGCTGGTGCAGACCGCTCGGGAGCCCCAGAGAGGAGAGCCCCAGAGAGAAGGGGGGAACCGACAACAGGGCGACCGCAGAAGGGGGAGCACCCCACGCTGAAAGAGGGAGGCTCACGGCTGAACACACCCGCATGACCCGCTCCACACGACCGGGAGCGTCCGGCGCGGGGTGC